GTAAAAACGTTCTGTACAAGCAACAAAATAGAATTACTTATTGCTCCAAATAAAGTTACAATTGTGTTACGATTTCTGTCCAGAAAATCTATCGGACTACAACAGACCAATATGATAGTTAACAAACCAGTAACAAACAATCATTTTAATGATAAATAAGTTTTAATTCATCACTAATATTTTTCTTACATCACAACACCAGGACGACCTTTAAACATTTCAGTTTTAAAGCTCTTACGACGATTTAAAAATGCTAATATCGTCAATATTGCAACCTATGGGAAATATACATTTATAGAATAAGATAATTCAAACATATTTCATCTTCACAGAAATCTTACAGCAGGAATCAAGAACCAATGCCGATAATTACCATGCGGTAGACAAGATTCACTAAAAATAGTAATATCATATGAAAAATTTCCAAGACCTTACCATGTTCTCGTTGTAATAGATTTTGTTGCACTTAACTGTAGAAAAACTGTTCATTTTATAACATATGTATATTTTCTACCTTGTGGATGACGTCGTACTTTCATTACTCAAGATACTACCGTTAGTCAAGATACTAGCGTTAGTCAAGATACTAGCGTTAGTCGTTGATAAATTGAAACATATTGTTGTTATGTAAGCCATTTCAAACGCGTCACTTTTCGTGATGAACGCTGTTAACAAAAGATAATCAAGAAAGTGTCTGCAGTATATTTAAACAAAAATTTTAACGTTTATATTATTCAAACCTTAAACGTTAGCGATACTTCACTTGCAGGAAAACCACAAAAGAAGGAAGTAATATGGTCGTTGTTGTATTTTTATTCTGTAAACAAGTGATGTAATTATGTAAACCAAGTGTGAAAATATTCATGCAACGAGCGAAACGAGAAATACATGCAAAGTTGTTTCTAGAAATTATAATCATAATTTTCTCATGATTTGAAGTAACATACAATGAAGTAAACCATCTTAAACTATTCTTAATACCTTATCAACTTGTAACACTTTATAGTTAAAGCAATATCCTAAAACAATAATTTTTGTCTTTACAATATAGCAGCATGTGGTGACATAAGAAAATCATAATTAATACAGGAAGGTCAGTTTCTATTGAATCAAACATTAATCATATCATACACAGCTAATATAGTATTTATTGGAGCTGTACAAATTCTTTGGAACTCATGAAAACTTGATCGCCAAGCAGTAAAACGTTTCTTTTTTGTTTAAAGATAACTCACAATCTGAGAAGATGATCAATGGTGTGTTGCCGGATGTTAAAATGCCGGATGAATTTAAAATGTTCATGTTTTGAAATTCAAATTTTTTCTAGTATGACTCATTACTTTTATAACTCAACAAAAATCAAACTCTTTGCATATGAGAATAACTTTGACATAAAGTTCTGACTCTTTGACTTATTGACTTATACAAATTAAAGTAGCCCTCGAGTCTATTTCTTCCTATGGTTTTCATGTCGTTTGCACATGTTCTCTCCACATCAAAATTTGCGTGCAAAAAACAGAATAAATTTTGTATGGTCGGTCGTGTCGTTACAACTTTCAAACGAAACATTAACTTATACTTTTTTAAGTACATATTTTATTTTGTATGTTTGTTTAACTAACTCAATGAGCACTAAAAAATGACCTCAATCTCTTTACGTGTATAATATTGCAGCTATGAAATCAAAATTACTCCTATTTTCAATCTTCTAAACTATTTAACCATAAAAGGAACCAAAAACAATCGTTGATAATTTCGCACGATTGTGTCATGAAGCTAACAAGAGGAAACTAAGTTTGTTTCATCTGAACTGTCCAAAATAACTCTCACTGAGCTCGTGCGAACTGGAACATTTAGACTTTCTTCTTTAACTTTACGATAACTGATGAACTGAGGATTGCGGGTCAAGGTTAAGGCAAGGAACCACCTGGTGCGGGCTTGAGGTGAACATTTCCATTGACGGATACCATTCTCTGTTATGTATAACAATGAACATTTATAATCATGTTCATTAGAAACATATTTAAAGTAGATATAAATACTTACTTCTGTCAAAAATTGTTTGACAAAATACTCGTAAAATAGGATTTCTAAATGCAGCTTGAACATGAAGATAGGCGATGTACGAAACATAACCTTAAATAATGTAACAAAAAATGTTTTGAGATCTACTGAATGAACTTTAACCTCTCTCTGTCTTTGACAGGAATAAATATCAAGTGATTAAAGACATTAATGACGTACCAGGATCAAATCGTTGAAAACCATCAGGCAAAACACTATGATCCACTCTTGGTAACAAGATAAGCCCAATTATCATCGCTTTTAAAATACGTGACAACGCTGACAATAATCCCATGGGAAGACCAATGAAGAACCAAAAATATGAAAATACTAAATACGCGTTCCTGTGTATGAGAAAATGTTGATGATAATAATTTATTTGTTAAAAATATTTTGATGATATCATGAAAACATTTATTTCTACCTGTTGTTCATGGATATTACATTTTTATTGTAATCAGGATCACGAAAAATCGTCACGGAAGTCACGAGAAGGATAAGTATTGACAATAATGCAAGAGTTAAAAAAACGCTAAAATATGACAAATCATAATGATAAGTTGGGAGTTATGACAACTCGACAATTAACCAATGAATTATAAGAAGAGAAGACAATGCAGTAAAATTTCATTTTGTACAATCCATCATAAAACACTAACATTTACAAAAACAGCAGACATCAATTCTTTATTTAATGAAGCATGTGAGTCTTTTCTGGAAAAAATTGCCATATATTTGACAAAATCTTCAACTGAAACACAATTAAGTTAAGTTACAGCTGCAAGCTGAAACTAGAGACTAACATTTTAATAAACAAGACCACCAACGTCAACTAAACAGCCCAACAAAAGCGCCTCCGATGATAGAAAATTCAATTAATGCCGCAAGAAGAAGAATGTTCTCAGAAAGAGCAACGCTAAGCTAAATGAGTAGTTTATAAGCCATATTCACAATCCCAGTTACCAAAAACAAAAAAATTTACATCGGCCAACAAACAAAAAACTTGGTAGTTTACCAAGCAACAGTCAATACGAGTAAACAAGAAAAGAAACTTACATTATAAAACTTGTCAAAACAACCCTGCACTTGTCAAAACTTAGCACACAAATAATAGTAAAAAACTAGAAGATACTGACTAATACAACGTCACAATTAACTGATCCATTGAGCAAAATAAAATTCTGTAACTTTTAGATCAACTTATGTCTTATACTTTTATTTTAGGGAATGTTCATGATCTGAATACACGATTGTAACATTGGGAGAAATTTTTACATTCGATTGAATTCAAGAGATTTTTCTGGGATGTATCATTACTTTGACCTGACGACCGGTAATGAAAAAATATCACGAGGATAAAACCATTGAATAAAACGCGCAATCCCTCGTGTCCAGTTCCCTAATGATAAATTGATCCAGTCGGTTGATGTTTGTGTATGTTTGTCTAAAGTTTTAAAAAAATTTCCTTAACATACCTTGCTCCTTTGACACGATTCAAAACCCATTTTCGCAAGAAAGGAATCTTTAGACAGTAGAAAAATCCACAAATAAGGAACAACGTAAGCAATGTTATCAAATATCCTGAAATAGAAATATTTTATCATTAATAATTTTTTATTTCTCTTCTTAACTTTCTATAAGCTCTTACCCCAGAAAAAATAGCCAATTTGAAAACTTTGATATCGTAAAGATTTTCCCTAGAAAATCGTAAAACGTTATGTTCAACTGAATAATTTTTTCCTTACTTTGATGATTTAACTTACGATCATAAACTGTGAAGATTTTGTTCCTTTTGGAATGCAGGATTTATCGCCTTTGAACATTCGTAACATGTTATTTCTGAAGAAAATGATGAAGAGAAGAAAAATTCTACATTTACACTGTTGAATATTAAATAATAAAAAAATAAATGAAATATTACTTATGATTCTCCATAAAACGAAGAAGTGAGATGATACACCACAAAAACGTGAGAATCAAAGCTGAAAATAGGGAATCTAAAAAAATTTAACGTTTTATAAAAGAAAATATTGAATTAAAAAAATCATTTCATACATTCTTACACAATCTTATAAACAAAACTAACCATGAAGCCCAAGTAAAAGTTCAAGAAAAGGTTTATGTAATGAATCTATCTTGCGAGCTGACTCGATCATGGAGTTTAAAGGTTGAATAAGAAATACAAGGAAAAAAATTGTAATCTGAAAAACAATAACAAATATTTGTTATCAAAAGATAGGTACAAAATGCGTACATGTACATCTATGAAACTGAACTGATAATTTAAAAAAACATAATGCCACAACCGACTTTTTTGGTACATTGACATGGCATTGATGCTAGCACAAGCCATTTAAAATGAGGTTTCCCCCAAACGCTGTACCTTTCATTAATTTAAATTTTTTTAAATGTTATAATTGATCTAATGACGCTGAAGTATTCATATTTGTTAATCAAACATAACAAAAATTGTCTACTACATTCGCCTTGCAAAATCTTTGCTTTATAATCTTGAGGTCCGAGGAACAGAGTTTTTGTAATCAATTCAATTGATCACCGAAACATTTTATATCACTGTGGCTATGCACTAGGTTCCTTAGTTTTAGAAAGAAACCCATGAAATAAAAACATACCGCGTATAAAAAGATGTAACAAACTATCACCACAGAAAGAGTATGTGTTGAAAATTTGAAATCTATAAGTTTATTATAAAAAAAAGCATATTAAAATATCTTGATAAGGAGGAATAACTGTTGTTTATAAGGAAATTAATTATTTTTTTATAGTAAAATCATTCTTACAATCATGAGGATTATAGATTTTTCTTATATAAGATACCAAGGTAGAATGGTCAGCTGTTTGTCTGAAAAGATTAAACAAATTGACAACAACAAGTTATTTGTACCATGTTTTGACCAAAAGACTAGTGATATTACCTTGGATAAAAAACATTTTTGACATAATCATTGAACCATGGCAATGAAAGTTTTACATTAATAGAATTATCTTTGGTCTGTTAAAATATTGAAATTTTACTCAACAAAACACAAATAAATCACTTTGTAATAAATATTAAAATACCTCATCATAGAATAGTTGACCAAAATTCTTTCTCTCTTTAAACAACACAATCAAAAATTTGCCAATAATAAATAGTTGACAAAGAATTACTGGGATGTCTCCGACAATAATAAGAAGAGAATCATTGTTCTGCAAATACAACGAACAAATGTTTAATGTTGCAAAAACATTCAATGCTTATGACAGATCAGATATTTATCATATTTTTGTAAAACAAGGATTATCACCAACCGCGCACTTCTGATAAAATTCAATATCTTTAATAATTCCTACCAAGAAGCTGAAAAGAATTAAAAGTTTGGAAAAAGGTTGTCATTATGCAGTTAGGAAACCAGATCATGACAATCGTCCATAAGACATAAAAACTTTAAGCTTAAGAAACATAAACAAGATTATCATCAACTTACAACGATACACTGTAACTAAAGCCTAACAATGATCCAATAATACGATAATGTGAAGCCAAACATCCAAAGATTGGATAAAAGAGAAAGGCAATCTCAATGCATATTACAATGACGAACAATGCTGCAAATAAAGAATATGAATGAAGATAAATAAGACATATTCGTCGTTAATGTATATATTTAAATGAATTATAAGAAATACTTACGTTTAAACCACCAATCGTTCCTAGGAGAATGAAAAACTCGCCATACGAGCAACAAAATAAAACCAGTTATTGCTCCAAATAAAGTTACAATTGTGTTACGATTTCTGTCTAGAAAATCTATCGGACTGCAACAGACCAATATGAAAGTTAAAGCCAGTAAAAAACAATAATTTTAACTATAAATAAGTTTTATTTATCAATAATATTTTTCTTACATCACAACACCAGGACGACCTTTAAACATTTCAATCTTAAAGCTCTTACGATGATTTAAAAATGCTAATATTGTCAATATTGCAACCTATGGAAAATATACATTTATATAATAAGCGAATTCAAACATATTTCATCTTCACAGAAATCTTACAGCAGGAATCAAGAACCAATGACGATAATTACCATCCGGTAGACAAGATTCACTAAAAATAGTAAAATCATATGAAAAATTTCCAAGGCCTTACCACCTTCTCTTTGTAATAGATTATGTTGCACTTAACTGTGGAAAAACTGTTCATTTTAAAACATATGTATAATTTCTACCTTGTAGATGACGTCGTACTTGCATTACCGAAGATACTAGCGTTAGTCAAGATACTAGCGTTAGTCGTTAATAAATTGTAACATATTGTTGTTATGTAAGCCATTTCAAACGCGGTACTTTCGTGATGAACGCTATTAAACAAAAGATAATCAAGAAAGTGATCAGAATATTTAATGCATCTGGCAGACAAAAATTTTAACGTTTATATTATTCAAACCTGAAACACAATTAAGCTAAGTTACAACTGCAAGCTGAAACTAGAAACTAACATTATAATAAACAAGACAAATGGATGGACTCAAAAGACAATTATACAATGATTTATTTTATGCACTCGGAACATTGAAAATTCCACTTTTAAAACTAACCTAAAACATTTGTTGCACATCACAAGAAAATACTCATTCTAAGACGATAGTATACTGTCGTATATAACTACATAATAATACATTTAAAACTAAATATGGAAACAAAGTGGGTAATTTTTCCTGTAAAATATAAGCACAAACAAAAATAAACAGCTGTTTCAAGTCCACACATTTTTCTCGTGTTAATAAGACCCATTTTAAACGGGACGAACACGCATAGAAACGAAAGACAATAACGACTCTGTCTTGTTTAAAACATTCGGAAGATTAAAAATTTGGCCTTGAAGAGCCTCAAACATTTCTACAGTACATCGACTAAAGAAAACCCAAAACATAAGGATAAAATACTGCCCTATATAATCATATATAAAAGATGGAAACAAATTTAAAAATTTTTTGAATAAAAAACATAAGCAGCTGTATCTAGAAATTTTTTTCACACTTTCTCATGTTGATGATTTCCAATATACGAACACAGTGAGCCAATCCAAACTAACCTTATTAGTATTTTATCGACTTTGTCAAGTAATGCAACAATTTAATCCAGGAATGCCCAAAATTCTCGTTTAGAATTGTATCAATATTTTGCGTCTTTACAAGAATAGCATGTGGCAATAATCAAAATATGAAATTCAAAACAGGGGAGGCCGTTGCAAGTGAAGGCTGAAACATACTAGCCAGCTGCTTAAGTCGCGCGTCCAAAGCGAATTGATGCGCACGCGGCAGTCACTTGAACGCCAGAAACACACATGCAGCGACCATCGCGACTTTTGCCGTAGATTCTATTCAACCTAAGCTTTTTATTTTGGCCTTTATTATAGCTACTATTAGATGAATATTTACTCTGTACAAACTACTATGTAGAGAAAAGAGAACAAGCTAATTAAAACACGCCAATATGACCATAGCTTATTACGCGTATATCGTGGACAATCTTATTCTGTGCGTTTAAGTTGTGAATTAGGATTCCAGTTTGTAGCTCCTATTGTCCCTATTTGATAAGTCATATAAAGTCTGAAAGATTCCAGTGTGAATTCACTATATACTGCCCCCGTTTTCCAAGGTATAATCTATAAATTTCGTATGATGCTTATGACAGGGAATATGATATGCATTTAGGAAGTTAAAATGTATCTATTGGCCAATCAGTGTAAAGCGACTAAAGCGACCAATATCAAAAGTAATAAAGAACTAATAAAGACCATTTTGTGCTAAAATTTGTGTAAAGTCGTTCCAATTTTTGTAGCCAAGTTAGTAATTAAATGCTTAAAATAGTTCTAAAGATAGCAAATATCATAGTAAATGGTAAAAGTAATGTAATATGTTGATAGCTCTTAAAAGAACTGTTTTAAGTAAAGAGCACTAACCTAATAGTTCTAAATTAAACGACACGATGCATTTCGTCAGACTACTCCTCAGGTGTCAACGTCTGCTAAATGAAAATTTACAATCTACCGATATTTATAATGCCAAGAAAGAGTGTACGTCATTTCCAAAAGGGGAGATGACGCTCAAAATACGGATAAATTAAAAACATAATAATTTGTCGGCAAAGGACGGGATTGGTTGCCGAAATGCATCGTGTCGTTTAATTTAGAACTATTGGGTTAGTGCTCTTTACTTAAAACAGTTCTTTTAAGACCTAGTAATTTATTATATTACTTTTACCATTCACTATGGTATTTGCTATCTTTAGAACTATTTTCAGATCTGTCACCACGACAAAGTCTCTATTTTATTAATTAAATGCTTAGAGACGCAACTGCTACAAAAACAAAGTAAATTATAGTTTTTTTCTTATGAATGTGTAACCAGATTCTTCTTTCAAATTGCGTCAATATCATAAAAATATTAAACATAGATTGCTGACGTATGAATAGCGTTAAGACTGGTTAAATGAGCTTAGGGCTGAATGATGCCATAACTACGAAACTTTAACACAATAAAATTTAAATGAAAACAAGTCATAGCATTTATTAAAGAAATCGGCCATTGCAGTGACATTTGCTGCATAATTCCATCAACCAAAAGAAGGTGAAGTGAATTACTATAACCATAAAAACTCTGTTTTCGGATCGAACCTTCTTTTTACGACAACATACATATTTTCTTTAAAAAATATGAAGATTTCAATCCTTATCCTTACGTTTCTTTAACGTTGAATCTTCCTTCAATCATCTTTTAAATGGCCAAAATAACGAATAACTCCCACAACTGTCTATTTTTTGTTCTTGTCAGGAATTCAGCACATTTCGTCTTTCACAGTCTCAATGTTTTTATTTCTATTTTTCAATAAATGCTTGTATTTAATGGACTTTCTGTACAATAAAATTCCTCTATCGCTTCATTCTAATACCAGTCATATTTGAACTTTAAATTGAAAATTACATTTCTACTTTCATTCATCTTCTCAACTATGTAAATATGAAAAGAACTATAACAAACGAAACAAACAATCATAACTCAAACAATTAAATTGGTTTTTTCCAAACCGAACGAATTATCTATACCAGATCTGACGCTAGCTTTATCATTTGAAATTTTTTCTTTATCTTTACGATAACTGATGATCTGAGGATTGCGGGTCAACGTTAAGGCAAGGAACCACCTGGTGCGGGCTTGAGGTGAATAATTCCATTGACAGATACCATTTTCTGTAAAGTAATATGAACATTTATAATCATGTTCATTATAAACATATTTAAAGTAGATAAAAATACTTACTTCTGTCAAAGATTGTTTGACAAAATACTCGTAAAATAGGATTTCTAAATGCAGCTTGAACATGAAGATAGGCGATGTACGAAATATAACCTTAAATAATGTAACAAAAACAAAGTTTTGAGATCTACTGAATGAACTCTAACCTCTGTCTGTCTTTGACAGGAATAAATATCACGTGATTAAAGACATTAATGACGTATATACCAGGATCAAATCGTTGAAAACCATCAGGCAAAACACTATGATCCACTCTTGGTAACAAGATAAGCCCAATTATCATCACTTTTAAAACACGTAACAATGCTGACAATAATCCCATGGGAAGACCAATGAAGAACCAAAAATAGGAAAATACTAAATACGCGTTCCTGTGTATGAGAAAATGTTGATGATAATGAATTATTTGTCAAAGATATTTTGATGATATCATGAAAACATTTATTTGTACCTATTGTTCATGGATATTACACTTTTATTGTAATCAGGATCACGGAAAATTGTCAAAGCAGTTAAAGGAAGAGTAAGTCTAGTTAATAATCCCACAGCGAAGAAAACGCTGAGAAAAATGAAAATCATGGTGATTAGTTGAGAGTTACGACACTTAAATAACGAAAAATGAGAAAACAAGACAATGAAGAAGAAATTTTTTTGTGCAATTCACTACATAACTTTAACATGTAAACAAACAACAAAAAAATTTTTTAATATTTTTAATTCAGTTAACGAGTTCTTTCAAAAAACTATTTATTCTGAATCCCTCGTCGAAACACAACTAAAGCCCGGCGCACACGAGAGCTATGTGCTTAGCAAAATGTCATTCGTGTCAAACAAGCAAACAAGTTGCTCTCGTATGCGCGTACTGTTTCGGATTTTGCGCTTTCCAGGCAGAACTGGCAAATATCAAACATGTTTGATATTTTTTTGCCACGCGTGGCGAAATGCTTTATCGATTTGTCCGTGTGCGGCGTCTTGAAAAAATTGATTATTTTTTCATCACAGCGCATGCTCAATAATCTCAAATCAAACCAAAATGGCGGTCAGGCAGAACAACACGAACAAAATTTCTTCAAATTTGCCTGCACCCGATGAAACTGCCAGAAATTTCAGGATCTTCGGCATTTGAATTCTCGTAAGGTTATTAAATGCGCCTTGCGCTTCTCGTCTCATCATCCACCGCTTCGTCCATGTTTTACGACAGAAGCTGGTAAACGCCTGCGTCTACGGCAATTAAGAGGCATAAAGTGCTATTTCGTTTATTCTTCGGAATCAGAAAAGTGAGATTTAACTGTTTGAGGAAGCCGCCATTTGGTTGATATGAGAGATTTATGTGCATGCACTGTGATGAAACACAACAATTGCTTCAAGACGCCGCACACGGACAAATCGACAAAGCATTTCGCCACGCGTGGCAAAATATCAACATGTTTGATTCACCAGACCTTCTGGAAAAGAATCAAATCCGGTTAATACTGCTTACCGAACAACACTTTTCGAAACCCTGAGTATAACCCAAATTTGCATGCCAAAAAGCTCAGCAAAACAAACGCAAATATTAGACTTAATTGCTGCAGAAAGTCAACATCACAGTAACCAAAAAATAAAATCACATCAGCCTGATAGAAAACACTTTTAATGGTAAACAGCACCAGCTGATTCTAAAACGAAGATCAACACAACAAGTTAAAGGAGAACAAATAAAAGCTGAAAGACCTGCATGACACGCTGTTTAATTGCAGCTTATATCTCTTGGAAAATTCAAATTATCTTTCAATCAAGTTTGGCTCTCATTAAAACAACAACTCGTTTCCGCTAGATTCGATTTTGTCCTGTCCTAATACATTTATTGGAAATTTATGGATTAAAAATTTGCATTTAGTGAAATTCAATATCCTATCGCACTCAAAATTTGATATAGATTATTTAGAAAGAAATTACTTGGACTTTGACCTACCTTTACTGTTTGACTGATTCAAAATCCATTTTCGAAAAATGGAAATCTTTGACAGTAAAATATTCCACAAATAAGTAACAACACAAGCCCTGTAGCAAATAACCCTAAAAAAAAATTACTTTAAATGTATATTCACTTGAAAAACTTTTTGGTCTGTTATATCAAATAATGTTTGTTTTTCATGAAACTTTCTTACCCAAAAGAAAATAGCCAATTTGAAAACTTTGATATCTCAAAGATTTTCCCTAAAAAATCGTCAAACGTTGTCTTCAATTGAAC